TACAATTAAGATAGGCAAATTGAAGAAACACCATTTTTCTGTAATTTTATTGAACATATTCATGGAATCTCACCAAAATATTGACAATTAAAGCTGGAAGTTGTAATAAATGCTAACTAATAGATGCCATTAACTATAGATTGACGTTTTAATGATTTTCTAGAATTGAAGGCCCCGGCATCATCGCGCTTGATAGACCAACAGTAGTCTGCAAGCATGGTGGAATCTCAACGACCTCGATAGCGAACTTCTATGTCGCTGATATCTTGATGGAAGCGCTCCCATTGCTTATCGCTCACATCACCTAGATTTTCTGGAAAACGGGCAAGACGGCTGTGCAAAAAATGTAACTTGATGCTCATATTTGCACCGCAGTTGACGGAGACTTGTAAGTAGTGTTTCAACAAGCACTTTGTAGTTGGGCGCCATCCATCAAAATTTTCAGCTCTTAATTTTTCTGTGGTTAGACCTGAATATTTCCTGCAAATTTATTTGAAACCGTCGCCATCTTTCTCAAGAGCTGTTTCATGATGCCAAGCTTTATGTGAAGAAGAGGAAACACAATTTTTGAACGGTCGACCAAAGTAGGAGCCAAAACATTGAGAGGGCCAGGAATCAACTCACTGCGCACAGGCCAATCTTTTTCTATTCAATGCTGTGTTCTTGCCCCGCAGTCCCACAGACACAAGAAGCAAGGAAATTTTGTGTAGCCACCTTGTAGACCAAGGAGAAATCTAATCATTTTCAAATCGACACATATGATCCATTGGTGCTGTCTGTATGAAATTTTTTCCAGTGCAAATTTGATTTCATCGTATTTTTCCTTGAGGGTTGTTGAATGACCTAGAGTCCTAGAGGAAGAGATCCAAATAAGTTTCCATTGTGAAGAGGAACACATTTTAAACTTCATTTGGAACTGTCTATAAAAAGGCGCCAATCTTGAGGATCATACTGTTGGACACCAAGCTGCCGCAGCAGGCCGGTAACGTTGTTGCAATATACCATGTCTTTTTCCTGAGTGAAATATGACAAGAATTCAATATGGCGTGTTCTACAGAATGTTATGAGAGTTTCCGACTGAAGTAGATTTTTTTTATTGAGTTTTGAAGCTAGAAGTTTAAAAGATCCTTTGGAAAGGTTGAGATCTCTAGTCAGATCATTAAGTTCTTCTTGAGAAAAAAGCTGTGGCAGTGAAGAAGGAAACAAGATATCTGAAACAGTGCCTCCACTACTATCAGTGGACAAAACGAAGGTTAGGTCTTCTTCACAGCCAGACAATTCCAATTCGGGCAGGCCTTCAAACACTGGAACAGGAATTTCATTGCATTGTGGAATTGGCCTAATTGCAGACTCGAGGTTTGGATAAACCAACGATTTTCTGTTCTTCCTATTGATTCCCTTAGTGTTTACTGCACAGAAGTAGCAGTCATCAAAATGATTTTTCGGTTCCCGCCAGACCAACCTTTGGAATACCAAAGCTGAGTGACTTTCTATCCTTTTTTGTCCACTATCGAAGATGTTCAACACATTGCTTACATACAATATGGGGTGCCCATATCTTATCTTGATCACCCAGCATTACTTTGAAGCAAGCAAGATAATCAGACTTCACAAATTTACTGATCCCTTTCCTGTTGAATTGCAATGTTCAACATTCTCCGCAAATATAGCAAAATACATTTGGATTGTTTAAACCAGGGCTTCCCAAACTTTTGAGCTCGCGGCCCCTTTCAATATATTAAAATTTTCCGCGGCCCTTGTTCTCGCTAATAATGCTAAACAGTTAAAATAGGCATTTTTGATATTTTAGTTACACGGCTAATTCTCAGATTAAAAACAAGCACATCTTTACTACGTTTAACGTCACTCAATTATTCAATGTAATGGGTTGCTGGGTGCGAATGCTTTTTGCTAAATAGCAAGTTCAGCCGTGGCTCAATGTTTGTTTATGCAGGCCGAAATGATGAATTACGATGTCTGGCCATCGACGGCATTGTGCTCATCCGGAATTGTTTACTCTTATTGATCGAACTTAGCATAGTGCAGCGGTTTGTGCGGCGCCAAATTATCAGGGAAAAAACTAATGGCGCACCACCACGAAAAATATGCCGCCGCAAAATAAAACACAATTTTGTCATTGTTAATATGTACTTTGTGTCTTTTGAGGTTTATAAACATGTAGGCCCAAGGAATAAAGGCAAAAGGTTAACCTTTCCTAATTAATTCTGTCTAGTTTTTCTCTAAAATGCCCACAACTCACTCATGTTCGATAAACCCAATTCAGCAGATGAATAAACTGCGGCACAAAATTGCAGCATGTAGGGTTACCTATTACAGAAAGTAAACAATATAGAAAGGTAAAACGAATTTGATTCATATACACATCATTTGCATTAATGAGAAACAATAAAACATTTAGAATAAATAACATATGTGATATGTTTCGAGGCGCACTTAGCAAATCGCCTTCCGAAACCGCTAGCTTGGCGATTAAAGCCGGCATTGTTATGCAAGCACGCAAATCGAGTCTTACGATCAGAATGTGCATTTTTATGCAACCGCGATAATTCTACCGTGTTTCCCCCAAATAAGACCCAGCCTGAATTTTAAAAATGATTTCAAAATAAGCGCACCCCATAAAAAAGACTTCGTGGATAGCGCAATTTTTTTATCGTGGATTTCGCAAGTGCGTCGTTTCAATTTTGCCAGGGCATCGCGAAATTTCGTTATGGTGTTATAATAAATAAGTTTAAATCTGAAAATTCGGGTTTCTTTAGATAAAGATTATCTCTACGTCCCCCCAAAATGAGCCCTAGTTTAGACAATGTCTCATTTTTGTAGAAACACGGTATGATGACGTATTCACTGGGAATCGTTAAATTATCGTTTTCCCCAAATTTTATAATTTTATTTCGAATCAAGAGTCCGAAAAAGTATAATAGATATAGTACCTTGTGAAAAATTGGTGTCACACCAATGGTTCGCCATATGATTAAGGCGTCTTAACGCTTTTCCGTTCCCCTTGGATAAAGATGTAAACTCTATCCTGATCAATAATGTTTTATATAGCGGTTGATCTGCCCGCCTCTAATTCACGGACCCTAAATTGTACGCTCACTCGAGGAAAAGAAGAATTGTTTGCCAACTTATTTTCAAATAACTGCAGTCTTGATTCAAATCAGTGTAGTCTCGATATATATTTGCTTACTAGAGCAAGAATCTCGAATCCTTCATAATAGTCACGTTCACCTGTGGTACATAAAGTTAAGGATCATAAACAACAAACAGCCTAAATAAAGGTATAGAATAAATGGCTCATTTGGAAGAACATCGACCCGATCGACACCTTGATAATGAATGTATTGTAAAAAGTTCAAACTTGCGAAGTATCAATACATGTTAGTGTAGTATTGTAGTACATAAACGAAGCACTCGGCAACTCACATGGGGGCCTCGTCTATAACTATGAGAATCTAATCATGCATGGTTGGACGTGTTTCATGTATATATAAATGAGCAGCTCAAGCTTTCGTGACCCACCCACTTTAATTTGTGTTGAAGTTTACTACTTGTCTGAGATCTGAGCATAATCGTGACAGTATTTTATCTGTGAACAGTGATGAAATATTTATGGATTGCGCAAGTTCTATTGCAAAGTAAATGATTGATAGAGTGTCCAACTAGTTGTTCGGGCAAACACGATATTTGGAACACATCAGCAACCAAACCATGCATAACCACAAGTCATTTCTCGGGAGGATGATGTGTGATGTAGTCTGTACACAACTAGCGAGTGAGCAGATTCTTGTCTCAAAGTTTATATATAATACATTAAAAATAGAATCCATATTATCCTGCAGCATAACATACTTCGATGAGGTTGTTGAACGCCTTATGTTTAGTCAAGAGTAAACATTTTGAACAGGCTGTCGTACCACTATGCTGAGGCCGTAGCAATATAGATTGTTGTTACATTGCCTGTTACAACTGTACGTATTGAAACGAAATTTGTTAAAAATGATATTAAACTTTTTTTCGACATTATGACTCTAGACTAGAGTCTACTCTAGACAATGAAAAAGTAATCATACTTAGATATATATGTGATGCGGCTAAACATGAAATTCTACAATCCGAAATTTAACAATATCTTGATATTTTTTAGAACTATTTTCAGAGAGGTTTAGAGCTGAATTTAGCAATGCTCGCCACCACACTGTTGCTCGTTTTCATAGCGAGTTTGTTCATATACTGGTATAGACGCGACAGTCGTTTACCTCCAGGACCCAAAGGAATACCAATTTTGGGGACTATTCCTTTTTGGGGTTCTAATCCAGCGAAAAAGTTGACAGAATGGGGTAAGACATACGGCGGCGCATACACAATTCGATCTGGCACCAATGATATCCTTATCATAACAGATTACGAGATTATGTACGACGTAAGTTCAGTTTCTGTCATATAGAATTATTGATTGTAATTTTACAACTGAACTAAGGTGTTCAGTTGTCCGTTGCTTCATGACATTTATCCGCCGACGTCATAGATGAAGGGGCGCACCCGAATTTTGGAAACTTTTTCTCAAAAATCCTGAACCTTGTTTGAAACTCTTCCCTCCATCAACTTCAGAACCATCTTTCAGAACAGAAAATTAAGAGAGCTGTGGATTTCGAGGGCGAATATTCAGAAACTAAGCTGTATTTTGTCAAGATTGACTTTTTGTATTATGAATTGAGTTACTTTTTTTTTTTTCAAATTTAAATATCAATGAGTTCGATTTTATTATACACTGATATTTCGTCGATTTGCATTTTAATAATTTAATTAAAGAGTGTTCTGAAGATACGTAGTCCTCATGTGTGATGACGGATAGCATAACACAACGGGACAGCATCAGAATTATTAAGATACCAGGAGAACCTCTGGGGTGGCGCAACGATATCATTACCACGTGGGGTCCATCAATAATGCTTTGCATTCAAATTTTAGGTACATATACGCCAAGCATCAAAAATGGGTGCTCGACCACGATTGGGCGTATTCCAAGCGACTAATAAAGAAATAGGCATCATCTTTGCTACTCCAAAAGTTTCGGAAATTCACAGGAATTTCACACTTCAAGCTCTAAGAAGGTTAATGATTAATTGTTTTAAAATTGTTTTGCTGAAAACTGTGTTAGGAGTATCAAACGTGATGGGGAAAATGATTCAATCAAATGCCTGACGGTACAATCGAAATGACTTGGCAAGTGTTTCAATTAAAATTTCACCAAGTTTATATCAAAAATTTGACGTGCTTTTTTTTTTTTTACAGGCTAGGCCTCGGTAAAAATACTATGGAAGACAGAATACAACAGGAATCAACTTATTTGATTGAGGCTATCCAGAGTAAAAGTGGAAAACCATTTAATCCCAGTGTAAGTGAATTTTCACAATACAATACTGTTATCCCAGTATCTACATTTATTTGTCCAGATTTAAAAAAAAAATCTTATTCATACTATAGGATGAATTCGTAACTTACAGCAGAGGAAATTGTAATTATCTGCAAATTGAAGACATAACAATAAACGTTGATAATAAAATAACCCTCTTTTCAATATCCGTTTGCCTTGTCTCATACTCGACGAAGTGCAAAATTGTCGCGAGGCGTGACAAAGTCATTTTAACGCATGTGTTTTTCAGCGATTATTTCTGTACGCTGCATTCAACATTTCATGTTTGAATACGATGGGTGAAAGATATCCATACGATGATAAGATACTGGAACAAATGGGTTCGGAACTTGTAGATGGGTGAGATTAATATGCATTTTTCCAAAATATAGAAAACATTGTTGTTGGACACGAAGTTGACCCATAGATGGATTTGTTAATATGTTGTTGTTAGTATTCTTCTTTTTCTTGTCGTTATTGTGAAAATCACTTTTCTCATTCACGACTGGGTTAATTCCTTTGACATTTTCAGTGGTTAAACATTGTTGTTGTCGCTAGGAGGCTATTACTTTTATTTGTTCCCTATATTTTGTATGAATCCTACGAGATCTGATAGTTCATCTCAAATGTCACTGTTCGATTCTTAATGATGGGGATACCGATTTTATTTCGCCAAGCGTGACGGCTGACGTCATGGCTTTCTTCCGTTTTGATTTTGCGAACTCGGTGCTCAGACAAATTTCCTCACTGGTCGTGTAGGCGAGCGTCACTTTGGCCACTAATATTCGTATCCATATATTTGATATATCCATATATACTTCTTGTATCAAGTAATATTCATCTCCTGTTCTGACTGTTCTTTATATTAAAATAAATCAATGCCTTGTTTGCTGCAGATTACGGGAGAATGGATTACATATTTTTTTGATATCAATGTGCAAATATCTGAAATATTTTGTTCCGTTCAAAACAGCATGGAAAAGATATGTACATGATTTCAATGATCTTCTTAGTAAGAAATATATTTATTTGATGTGAAAAAACTAGTTTTTTTTAGTTTGCAGTTCAAAATGCCATTATTATTATCTTAATTTCACATAGAAATAATTATGAATATAAAATGAGCCTAAACGAAACTAGGGGAATTGGTTCCATATATATTTTTAAAAAATATTAAATTATAAATGGATATATATTACGATTCTTGAAATTTGTGTGAAGTTGCAAATTGAACTGGTAACTCTTGAATGACAAATCGTGTTCTGTTATAACATTTTCAGAATTTTTTACGGAGAAAGTAACAGAACACGAAAATACTTACGACGAAAACGAAATGCGAGATTATATTGACATTTTCATGGAAGAAATGAAGAAGAAAAATCATGATCCAACATTTCACGTGAGCAACATATAAATATTATAATATCACCACTCACCATACAAATATTATACAATATATGTGATTATATTTTTAATCTTAAAGCCATGTATTTATTGTGTATATGCAATGTTTGATTTTTTAGTTTTTAACCTTAGCGCGCTGACATAAACTTTCATTGTCAGTTACAAAAGTCCTTCTGCATTAAAATTAGCTATAATATTTCAATATCTTTATCATACATTTTCAATTCAGAATCGTCAATTATTAGTTGCTTTGCATAATTTGATGGATGCAGGATCTCAAACTCTGTCATGTACTCTCTCTTGGTGCATGATTGCCTTGCTGAAGTATCCGAAATATTACAAAATAATTCGAGATGAAGTCGATTCTGTCGTGGGTTAGTTTTACATTGTGTATACGTCATATTCTTGAACATTGCGCTGAATTGATTAAAATTATACGTCATAATTATATTCGAAATTGAAAATGAAGAATCATTCTCAAAATTACACCAATGCATCTTATCACAAGACTAGTACAGATTAAATGCGCTTTTTCGAATAGCCATTTTTATATTTGAAAAAAATGCTTACCCTTTAGTTTTTCTTTTCACTCTTATTGGAACACTATCTCTATAAAATTTTGGTTAAAATAGCAATGTATTTTGGTAAGGCATTTTTACTTTTTATAGGTTGTGACAGAAAAGTTTCGTTATCCGATCGTAAAAACATGCCGCAAACTTTAGCATTTTATCATGAATTGATGCGTCGATGTACCCTGGTCAAAAATTCTGTAACCCAAACTCTTGAAGATGGAGTGGTTGTCAATGGATACAGATTACCAAAAAATACTCCGGTAAAATTGGAAAAATTAAAATCCAAGTTGAAATTTTTACTACTTCAATATATATAATTGAATTTTCCAGAAAAATCCGCCGCGAAAAGCTGCGATAAGAAAGATCGAGCAAAACAGTTCTATATTTTAAATTAAATACAGTTTTGCATTCTCCGCTCAGAATATTAATGTTGTTTTCATGTTACTTAAGGAATCAAAATTATCGTGTTAGACAGCTTATCTTGTTATGCATGCAAGAGACACATTTAACTTTTACTATGTTTTTAAACAGATCCAATCAGTTACGTGGGCAGTTCATAATGATCCGAAGTGTTTTCCTGATCCAGACAAATTTTACCCGGAAAGATTTATCAATCCAGAGGATGGATCCTTCCAAAAATCAAAATATTGGATACCATTCAGCATAGGTAAACGTAATTGTCTCGGAGATCAATTAGCACAAATGGAGCTCTTCATTTTGCTGGTTACGCTGATTCAAAATTTTGACATCTCGGTGAAAGATGGCACAATGATTCCTTCTTTGGATGATGGCATAGAGGGCATTGTCTTTAGCCCTTCACCATTGGACCTGATAATGACTGACAGAGAGTAATTGGGTCGTTGAAATCCCTGGTATATACCTATAATTATATTTCAATAATTATTACTGTTGAATGAGGATAGAAATCACAACACCTTTGTCATGTCTGTTGTACAATGTCGGACCTATCGGAAAGAGCAAACTCTGAGAAATCATTTCAAAAATGGAAAAGGGGCGATTTATCATATACAATAATTTATGGGGCAACCTGGCACACTGTATTTTGCGTGAATATTATTTCAATTTCATTGTCAAAATAATATGATTATTATCAATTTTATTTTCGAAATAATATGAATGTGTGAACCAGTCGAACATATCGCAGCTTCTTTGTTTTGTGGTTTGGAAACTTCCATTGCGACTCCAGGAACATTCAAGGATAAGGATCATTTGGGTTAGACAACTGTTTAAAAATCCTTCATTCAAGTGACCGAATATATGTTAGTAACCAAACAGCATGTTGAGAAGTTTGGAATGTCTGCAGCTGCGAATTTATTAATATGCGCACTGTAAAGTCGTTTGATAGTCTATATCACCCTTTTCGGCTCCGTGTTATATTTTGGTATTTGCAATACTAAATTAAAGATTACAAAAATGACAAAACTATCTCTTGTATAACATTTGTCACATTGGAATTCCAAACTATATCACCTGTGTTGCTTCCTGGTATTGACACGTACAATATATTTCGCTTCGTTGTTTATGATTTATTAATTTTTTCGCATCAAATGTTTGTGAGGTATATAGGAGTACGGAATCTCTCTCGTCTATCCGAGTCTTTACGACTTGTGTGCGTTGCCTCATGGCTTGATGCAGAATGTGAACAAGGCTGGTGCATCCGCAAACACACTTATACTTATGCTCTCGTCTGTGCGAGTCTTTACGACTTGTTTGTATTGCCGCAAGACGTGTAGAATATCAACAAACGCTGACAAAACGTCAGATAGAGTGCATAAGTTTATTAGATTCGGAGATTTGTTAATAATTAACCGAGCATGGCTAGAATTAGATTTTTATGTACAAAAGAAGTTGTATCGTCTGCCGCAAAAATCAATAGCAACCCTAGTCCTTCAGCTATTGAACTATGCGAATTTGGATGCGAAGTTGAATATATTCAGATATTTGCCTTTTACTTCACAATACTGTAACGTTTTCTTCAATATATACAATAAATGTAAATTATGCAGTTGGTATAGGATACGGTATGATAAAATCGGAATAAAAATCAAAATAAAAAAAAGAATTTCCTGATTGCAGTGGAGAAAGATGATTATTCTCACTGGTGCATTGTTGATTGTTTTAACAACGAGTTTGTTCCTGCTTTGGTATAGAAGAGACAGTCGATTGCCACCAGGTCCCAGAGGTATACCGATACTTGGTATACTTCCTTTTTTGGGCTCTAATCCAACGAAGAAGTTGACGGAATGGACTAATAAATACCACGGAGCATGCACCATGCGAATTGGAAGAACGGACACTGTAGTACTCGCAAATTACGGAAGTATTTATGACGTAAGTATTGCAGTACCGGTATTATAGGATCTTAATTGTAGAAAGCCCCTGCCAGATCCATATTGTACACTCACGTTTTATCTAACAGCTTTCGATGGGACATACTGACATATGCAACACGAATTCAGCTGAACAAACAAATGTCTGTTTGTTTCTATATTGTAGATTTTATTGGCGATATTTTCTTTTTCTCATATGTCGGCAAGTAAACTTGATAGAAAGGCAAGGATGGCACATAGCAACTCTTCCAGCAGTCTAATCCGCCTCGACCTGATTTTACAAATTATATCGATAACCGGGAGTTTAGATGTACTAACCTGCACCCTGGTCACGTGTCTATATATTTTTTGCATTCACTCAATTCACTATCAAATTTCAGGTGTTAATACGCCAAGCTGCCAAAATGGGTGCTCGAGCAGATCTTACCGTTCCCGATGCAGCCAACAAATGAATTGGTATCGTCTTTGCCACTCCAAAAATTTCGGAAATTCATAGACCTTTTACACTACAAACTTTTAGAAGGTTATATATGTTTAAATACAATCATGGAATTTTTGATTTTTAACGATAAAACTCTAAACTGAACGGAACAAGTTTCGATATCAAATTTGAAATAACGATTAAGTATTCAGAAAATATATATTAGGAACACCACTCGCCTCCCTATGCAATTATGCAAAGCAACTAATGATTGACGATTCTTTCCCTCGCCTACCTTCGGTTATATATACTATAAAACGTTTTTTTGTCTGCAGAGAAATTTTCCTTTCAACGACTTTTTCGTTCAGGATCCAAGTTCAGACGCAATTAGTGTTCATAATTTTTATAGCAGTACATACATTTGTAGGGACAATCATATTACGGTAAGTTGATTGAGTTTCGGTAATTTGAGCAAAACTAGTATTATTAGGTGTAAATGGGGTTTAACTCAGATTCTTTGAATTAGAACAAAACGAGTAACAATTCTTAGTTGTTGTGCGTCATTCGCGCCGCAGGCCATAGCCCGAGGACGAAATATGTTGTTTTGATCGTACCATCAAGGTTAGATCTCCTGCCGTGCTTGATAGTAAATTAACTCAGTTAACGGTTAACCCAATGTCACGGTGTGTATAAAAAAAAAAGACTGAGCGGAAATTAATTGCTTGTGGTGGGTATCAATATTACAGAATCGATAACTTGGAAAAATAACAAAAGGTGAGTTTCGAGGCAGAAAGTAACAGTATTTATCCGTAAGATACTGGAGAATTGTGACGATCAAGTTGGCAATAAAATATCGATCGTGTGCTGGTGAATTCTAATATCTTTGCATTCGTTGTTGGGAGTGGATATCACGCAATCTCAGAAAGAGGGTGCAATAGAGATCAAGCTAAGGATTGGACCGCTCCCATCTGCCTTTACAACAAAACGTTCAATAATACATAGTATGATGACATTGAATATATGGTTTTGCAATAAAATCGTGAACAATATATTTCGACCGAAAACTAATTCTGAATTTATCATTGTCAAATTTTCATAATTAGCAATCTTGGTACTTCAATTATTTTTCACATTTATTGGATCCTTACCAATACAATTAGTGATATTATTTTGAATAAAACGCCACAGAAGATAAATTTGCGATGACGTAATCATTTTTGAAAAAAATTACATTATAAAGATGATTTGTACCTGAGATGTCGGTTAACGGTTAGAATAAATCGTAACCATTAACCATCTAAAATCGGTCAACCGATTAACCATTCCCAGCCCTAGTTATGACCAACTCGTTTTGTCCTAATTCAAAGAAGCTGAGTTAAACCCGATTCACACCTAATAATACTAGTTTTGTCGGAATTACCGAAACTCAATCAACCTAGTATGATTGTCCCTACACATTTAATTGCTAATATATTCGTTTTCTTCGCAGATTGGGAGTGGGTAAAAATACCATGGAAGCCAGAATACAACAAGAAGCATCATATTTGGTTAAAGCTATACAAGATAAAGAGGAAAATCCGTTCGATCCCAGTGTATATCCTAATTTTTATTTGTCATTCTTATCTATAATGATTTTGTATTTTGAACAACTTACTGCAAAAGATTTCATCAACGTTTAATTTTTTTTATTGTATAACCTGCTAGCTGTTACTGCAAATGCAGGTTTATGAGTCTAAGGCCTTCAGTGCACTACTACCTACTGTTAAGTTTACTACAGAATCCCCAGATATCCTTCTTCGGGCGAGTTGTTAATAAACATATGAAATTCCGTTTTGATATGATTTGTTAGAATGGAAAAACAATTTTTGTGATTCGTTTCAAAGAATTGACTATAAGATGAAACTGACGCATAAAAATAAAGCAGTATTTTCGATTATATGTATGATAGACTTATTCTAACATGATGTAATTTACATATATTCAAATAAGCGAAATCAGTTAATGGTTTAGTTGCAATGATTAAGACAAGCGTTCTGATAGGAGCCGCCACATTTATGTTTTATTTTGTTTTAGCGATTATTTTTGTACGCTGCATTCAACATATCATGTTTAATTACAATGGGAGAGAGATATTCATACGATGATAAAATACTGGAACATATGGGATCTAAACTAGTAGATGGGTGAGCGAAATAGAAATTAATTCTTACAGAACGACACACAGATTTTCGCAGTAAATATTAAAGTACTATATCCCTATACCTCAGAACATTCAGAAGGAATCATTAACTCAAAAGTATCCGTACAACATCTGCTTACCAAAATCTCTCTTATAAAAACTCTGCTTCCACATTATTCTATTTTTAATTTTCCAATTTTTTTGTCACAGACTGCGAGAAAATGGAATATATGTTTTACTAATTGGCTCATCAAAGTATCTACCACATTTTGCTCCATTCAAAGCTGTAATGAAAAGATATTTAGATGACTTCAATAACGTTGTTGGTAAGATATACAAATAATAATTTAATTATTATAAAAATAGTATCAAATTATAGTCACTTACTATTACTCTTCCTTTGGAAATTGAAAAAAAAATCTCATTAAAAATACAAAATTGCAATATTTCACGTATTGATTAGCTCAGGATTCAAATGAGTAACTTAGTCAATGTTGTTTCAACGTTTCGTCTGTATAACGAGTTCATCATGTTGTTTTAAGGTTCCTTTGGCAAAATTTGATACTATTTTGATGCTGATTTTACAATAATTTATTTAATTTAACTTATAGGAAAATAAATCATGTTTTCACAGTACCATCGCATCGATATTTGGTAATAGTTGATAATATTTCAAATGCTGCTGAGGTACAAGTTGAAATTTTCATTAATTTTACTAGTTCTAATAAACATTCCAAGATTTCTTCAAAACGAAAGTAAAAGAACACGAAACCACTTACGACGAAAACGAAATGCGAGATTATATCGACATGTTTTTGGAAGAAATGAAAAAGAAAAATCCTGATCCAACGTTTCACGTGAGAAAATATTTGGAATAATTAATGAATTCAATAATTTATGAAAGTTAGTTGACACATACCTCCAATTTTAATATTGTATCATCGTTGTTTGAGTGTTTGCACTTATGCAATGATGTCATTTTTATAAAGCAGATTACTGTTTTAACACTTGTTTTGTGTCGAGAAGCTTCAAAAAATCTCAACTTTCTGGACATCAAATCATTTGACAATTTATTTTAGTTGCCATACGGCCCATACTATGTCTGTTCTTTCCGGTTTCGATTTTACTCAACTCAGGCAAACTTCGTGCACGTTCTGGTCAGCCAAGAATCTTACTGCAGCAGATTGACCGAGATTATAGTTCAGTCACTTGATAATTTCGTGTGTTTGTACGATTTATTATGTGTAAAACCTGTCGATTTCAAGTAAAGCATTTCCCAATAACATAGGAAATGTAGAACATACATCCTTGTATTTAAAAATGCAATAAATAACGCTTGTCACATAATGTTTAGCATCATAAACATCTCTATGCAAGCTCACAGCTCTAAAAATTTTAATCTAGAAAGATCAATTGTTGATTGCTTTGCACAATATTATGGAAGCAGGATCTCAAACTCTGTCATGTACCCTCTCCTGGTGCATGATTGCCTTACTAAAGTATCCGAAATATTACCATATACTTAGAGATGAAATCGATTTCGTAGTTGGTAAGTTTACTAATATCAATCTCTTTCACATGGTTGTCTGAAGTACAAAACGTGCTTAAAATGGGAGATTTAATGGGAATTTTTTCGGTCCCTGACTCCATAAAAATTCTTTCTATACTTGACCAAAGCAAAATTTTTGATGATTATGTTGCGAGTGCTTTCTCGAGTTAGCGCATACAAGATGATAGTTGGTATATATTTTGATAAACATTTTTTTGATTTCAAACTATTTAATCGCCTGTAATTCAAAAGTTCTGATAGTTAACTTTAGCCTAGTTTATCCCAGCGTTTTGGAGACAAATTTTTGTTTAGCTCAGCTAGACCAAAACTTTATAGAAGACGAAATCAGCATGGAGGTAATGCCTGAAAATAAAAACAGACATATAGCAACTAAAACCTCAAAACGAGCCAATGTTCACAACCACGAGTCAAACATGTCTCAAGTGTAAGGCAAAATTTCAATTGGTATATGACTTCTTCCTAAATGGTCATTGCCAAGGTAGTATACACCGAATCTGTTTGTTTTGTGACAAAGAAACATACCTAGCAGATATATTGGGAATGTATTAAATAATTCATAAAGAATTAGCAATATGGCCCTCCCAAGCTCCAGCTTTTTAGATGCAGACGCAATCTTTTTGCAGGTTGTGACAGGAAAGTTTCCTTAGCTGATCGTAAGAATATGCCGCAAACGTTGGCGTTTTATCATGAACTGATGCGTCGATGCACTCTGGTCAAAACCTGCCTTAGGCAAACCGTTGAGGACGGAGTAATTGTCAATGGATACAAATTACCAAAGGATACACAGGTGAACATTGCTTATGAATTTTGATTGGGTTTTCGCGATTTTTTTAATGAGAGAAGATGTTCAGCCTTCGCAATAGGAGATTCCTAGCTGTTATCAATTTTGGCGCCACATCTACGTTTTTATCTCGGCATGTCACATTCATTTTTACTCCTTTATTTTTACCAGATTCGAGTAATTCCGTCGGCAGTTCATAACGATCCCGAGTGCTTCCCTGAACCAGAAAAATTTTGTCCGGAAAGATTTATCGATCCAGAAGATGGAAGTTTTCAGAAATCAAAATATTGGATGCCATTTTCCATTGGTAAACGCAATTGCGTTGGCGAACAACTGGCACAAATGGAGCTGTTCATCCTGTTAGTAACAGTTATTCAAAATTTTGACATCTCTGTGCGTGATGACACAAAGATACCGTCCTTAGATGATGGCATAGAGGGCGTTGTTTTTACTCCTCCGCCACTGGACCTAGTGTTTGTTGGCAGAGAATGAGCTCTGACCGATATTTGTTTGCCTGCATAATTAATTGTGAAATGTAAATGAAGAATCTTTGGTTGGAGTCGAATTTAAA